TCTCGGCATGTCTACTTGAACTTCACTCTATTTTTTCACGTGTTATTTTTTGCTTGTAGCTCTCCATCCGCACACCGGAATTGAGCATGTGATATACCGATGGAAAGCTATTCTAAAAACGCAACTTTCCCGTGTTGATCATTTTTTCATACTCGCGACGATTTTAAAAGTTTTTCATCTGAAATTCATTCAGTGTAGTTGGTGAACTTCCAGCTAATTTCACGTTGAACTTTTGTGACATATTTTTGTTTGTCATTTTTCTCATCCATTTCGTCAGTGTTACACAAATGATATTCTTTTTGTACAAACCTCTCTCACAATATTTTTTGAACTTTCTCCGACCGAAGACTTGAACTTACACAAATGATATTCCTATTGTTTTGAAGTAAATTAGAGAAATGACGAGATCGTGTTTTATGCCTTCATTGCGAATGGAAATGCACTGTGTGAAGTAGTTGAACTTCTCGAGCATGTCTATTTGAACTTCACTCTTTTTTGACGTGCTGTTTTTTGCACTGTGTGAAGTAATTGAACTTTTGGGGCATGTCTGTTTGAACTTCACTCTATTTAACTTTATTGTATTTTTCTTGTATGAAATACACACCATGTAGTACGTGAACTTTCGGTTGTTATCACTTTGAACTTCTCTCTGGTTTGTGAGAATTATTTTAAAACATAAAAAACAACATATTTTTATGTATTTTGGACATCTAAATACACAGTGAACCTCTCTCGCAAGAATTTTTTGAACTTTTCTTCGCCGAGCACTTGAACTTCTAGCAACATTTTTTTCGTTTATGAGTTGTTTTTAAAAGTGCAAAAAACGGCGTTCTGTTTTTTATTTTTTGAACAGGTAAATCCTAGGTTTTAATAAACACCAAAATTCTCTTTTATATTTTGAGTAAAGAATTGTTTTTGATTTTTCAATAAACATCAAATTTGACTACCTTCTCAATTTGAACTTCATCGTTGATAATTAAACAAAAATTGATATCTATGAAAATCCTAGATGTTTTAATAAACATCAACACTTTGTGGTTGTTCCTTCAATTTTAATTTGAAGTTCTTCATTTTATTATTTAGTAACGAGAAAAAAATATGAGCTTTTTATATACGTCGAACTTCGCTGTTATTTTAATTTGAACTTCTTAGTCTTATTCTTAGAAAAAAATATGTTTTCAAATAAGCATCAAACAAATTTATTAAAATTTAACTTTCATACTTCTATTTTTCCTAGAAACAAAACTAATTTGATTTTTCTGTATACATCTATTTTTCATGCTTGTCGAAAAGACGCAACTTTTTAGTAACGAGAAAATTCTAATAGGAACCACTTCCAACGGGAGAAAGATTTTTATTTACTTCAGACTTCTTTCTTATTTTAATTTGAACTTCTTAGCCTTTTTTAGAAAAAAAATATTTTTTTAATATGCATCAAACATTTTATAAAGTGAACTTCATAATTCTATGTTTTCCTATAGTAGGAAGTAATTTGAGTTTTCCGTATACATCGAAGTACTTCGTTATTTTATTTGAACTTCTTCATTTTTTCTATTTGGACTTCTTGGTGTTACACATTTGTAACAGAAAAATCCTAGTTTTGTAATAAACATCATACACCTTCTTGGTTATGTTGAGCTAAACTTCTTGGTTTTTCATTAGTAAGAGGAAAAATTCAAATTTTTGTAAAGCTCCATTTTTTGAAATTGAACCTCTTTGTTTATTATTTAGTAACGAGAAAAATCTAGGTTTTCATACACATTGAACTATTCCATTTCTTAAAATTGAACTTCTTGGTTTTTTCAATTTGGACTTCTTGTTGTTATTCATTTCATAACGGAAAATGATGAAATACTTTTTGTACGAGTTTTCAACTACTTTATTTTAAAATTTTAAATTCTTGTTTTTTAGCTTCCTTTTTTCATTCCTTAATAATTTGGAAAATCTGAATTTTGTATAGACATCAATTTTTTTTAATCTGGACTTCTTGGTTTTACTTAATTTTTGTATGTGTTTTTTTCTCCACAAACTAGACGTGATTGAACTTCAAGACGTGTGGTTTCTTCTTTTACTTAATTTTTCATGAATCAAACTTCTAAATTTTCCCAACTTTCGTGAGTCCGACAATATGAAGTTCTAAATTAGATATTTCTAATAGTACATACGTATATGAAAATTCTAGCAACAAAATTTTTCCCGTAAACAACAGATTTTTTTGGAATGTGAATACGGAGAGAAGAAGATCAACACATTGGACTGGAGTTGTATGAATTACTTCAGTGAACTATGGTGTTCAAAACATTTCACTTACTAGGTAGTTTTAATACATGACTTTTCCACGTAGTAATATATGAACTTCTCCGAACATAATTTTCATTGAACACTTTTGAACACAAAACATACATGAAAGAGGTTGAAGATATGAGTACGGATTCGTCAAATGTGAGGTAATTCTTTGGAAGCTCTTTTTTAAGAGTGCAATGTCAAAAGAAGTCTCACATCCATTGAACTTCATAACTTGGAGTTTTCAACTTGCAAAAATATTAACTCTCAAACATCAAAAAAATAACCTCAAGAAGAAGAAAAATATCAAACTATCAATTCTCATTGGCATTTCAACAAGCATGTACACAACACATAATCAGAACATGTTCTTTGCATCAATTTACAATATGGTGACCATCAGTAGCTGAGATAGAGGTTCCTTTTTTAGGCGAGGCTCCTGAGAAGACCACTGTCGCTGCTTTTTTTGTCAGCTGCCTTGCCAAAACTTTTTGCTGAACTTCCAAACCTTTTGTACTGTGTCTATGGGGAAGGTCGATGAGAGGCACCGAGGAAGGTGCCACCGGTGCTGGGCACTAGGAGTGCTGCACGGTTGCATGAGGAACTTAGAAGAAGCTAACTAGGATGAAGGTCACTTGTTAGGCCACGGGCAGATCACTTTTCTTGCACGGACACACACAATAGAGAAAAGGGTAGAACGCCATGTCGATCATGGTAGGGAAGATCTACCTCCTCGCGTCATTGTGGTCGGTGACGAGCAGCGGGAGGGGCGGCTGGAGCAGCTGAGCTTGCCGGCGCGAGGGACGGCGAATTTTTCTGAGTTCGCCCCGTGCCCCCGAAGTGCTCTTCGTACTGCTGCTGAAGTCCAAATCCACCTTGTTCTGAAGGAGGGGTCGTCCTCACGCCGGAAGAAGGTGATGTCCATGGAAACGAAAATAATATATTTTACACATTGAGCTTCATCTAGCAGGCAATTGTACATACGGTTTATACGTTGAATTGTTTTCAATGTTTAGTCATAAATACAAATAGGGAGAAAGAACAAGAGAGGGAGAGCCGCACGCGAGCGTTGTGACCATCAGTTTAACTACTACTCATTTAGGGGAGCCGGGCGAAGGCGAGCTGCACCTCTTCTAGGGCCACACCCATGGCACGGGTGAGGCACGGTTGTCTCCTGCAATTTTACATGTGGTCTGACGCACGCGATGAAGGTCATGGCTGGCACCCCATGAAGGTCAGGTAGGGGCGCATGGTGACCAACAACCGTGGATGTGCAAAGGACTTGCACGGGAGATGCACGGGTGCTGCCAGGAAGTGAGACATGGCCATGCATGGTGGGAGTGGGGCAGCGATGGGTAGTGGCAGCATACGGAGGTCGGCCACATTGGCGGCGAGCGCGGAGGTTGCAGGAGACATGAGGTAGGCTGTGGGGATCGGGATGGTTCGGCGGCGGCGCGTGCTGGTGAGGCAGTAGGGGAATGACCTGAGGTGGTGTGGATGGAACGCCATGGTGGGCAATGAGCTACAGCGGGATGCATGTGCACGGGATCCGTGACGGGATGCGTGTGTGCTGGATCCGTGGCCGGCGGCGCGTGGTATGGCCGGATCCATGGAGGAAAGGTCCTAGCGGAGGCTAGTGGGGAGAGAGGGCGTGGTGGCCAGCGAGCTGGTGGAGGCCGATGGCAGCCGCGATAGGCGACAGTGGGTGGCGCGCTGTGGCCGGGGGTGGGCGGCGGCGGGTGGCGCGCTGGGGCCGGGGGTGGGCGGCGGCGAGAGGCGTGCTGGGGCCGGCGGTGGGCGGTGGCGGGTGGCGCACTGGGGCCAGCGGTGGGCAGCGGGTGGCGTCGGCAGCGGGAGATTGGGACAAAGAGTTGTGCGAGAGGTGGGGGTAGTTGGGAAGGTCGAGACGTGGGGAACGGGCCGGTCGAAGGGGTTTGATGGACCGGCTAGGTTTTCTCCTTTTTCGTTTTCGGGATCTCGGGAATACCTAATCGGGCCTATATATAGAGAGAGTAGCACTATTTTGATCCTGGGATCAGAATAGTTATATATATATATATATATATATATAGGATAGCACTATTCTAATCCCAGGATTAGAATAACTATTCGGATCACAGCTGCCCCTATAAGGGCCCGATTACATGTTCCCGAGATTTCAGAAAACGCACACCTGAGAAAACGACCCGTTCCCGCACCTCCCGCAGCTCGCTCTCCCCTGATTCCTCCTCTTGCTCTCCCCCGATTCGTCCTGCGACGAGGTCACCGCCCCGCCCTGGATCTCCCCCACCCCCTCGCTCTCCCCCGCCCTGGATTGTGCCTCCCCGCTGTGCCCCGCCCCAAAGAGGCGCGCCGCCATCGACCCCCGGATTAG